CCCCAAAACCCCAAAACCCCTAGTAATAAAATTTTTCATTATTATGAGAATGGCAATTTTTGAGATAAATAATTTATTTTTTATTAACTACCAATATTTTTTTAATTTAGTGTTAATTCTAGTTATCTCTTATAGAAAATAGCTGGTTCAAATATTAAAGGTCAATCCTATTATTAATTATATTTTAATGATGGATTCTAGCTTTTTAATTGTTTTTTTTATGCTGAGTTTTTATGCAGCTAATCTATGTGAGGTAGGATTTTATTATGACAAGAACCAGCAAATATGTTAAGGTAAATTATTTGCATTAAAATTTTAGCTTGTGACTCTAACTGCAATAATTCTTTTTGTGTGGGACCAACATCATAAGAATGTGTATAGTGTGTAGATGAAAAATTTTACAAAGATCTAAGTTCTATGAAGTGCGTTGAAAAATGTTTAAACTCTACTATACCAATGACAATAAAAAACAAATACTTCAAAGCTTCGATATTTAAATACTGCAGAGGTAATATTTGAATATAAAATACTTTTTTAGATCCAGTGTATTATATTGATTCAAAGATGGATTCTTTAATCGAGTTAGGGACAAGGGATTACCCATTTAAGTCGTTTGATGACCCATTTCGAGAATTAGTAAATAACGCAGATTTAAGCTCCCGTTTAAATGTGGCTGTTTATCTTAAGAAGAATTCTACCTTAACCATATTCTATAAAGAGCATCCAGTTTTCCTTATTAACCTTAATGTCCAGATTTTGTAAAAAATATAATTTAATTTAGTTATAGACCTTATAATAATTAGGATGATTTCAACGCTTAAACTCTAAATCATGATTAGAACTATCCTATTATTATTTGCCATGAAATGCCTTATTTTAGACCAAAATTTAGCTTTAATCCTACTTTAAATGAAGATGGCTCTATGAGAGATTATCATTTAACACCTTTGATTGAGAAGAATTAACTAGATACTAGTATTTTGGCTGAGATGAAAATATTCAGGTGTTTTCATTAAAAACATCAAGTTAATAGATGGAAATATATAATCTATTAATGCTTAAGCAGGTTTTTTCTAATCTTTTTGGTGTCCTTACTAGTGGTTAATAATTGATGAGTGTGCTCTTTAACTATCCTAAAATATTTTGTTCACATAATCAGGGACAAATCTAAAAATAATTAACTCTAATTGGGATATCTCAAACAGTACACTCACTCTACCTATGTCTAATCCTCTTGATTTTAATTGACTGTGAAATTTACAAAGACTAGGAAATTTAAGGGAATATAATCATTGACAATAACACCATAGAAATAAAATCTAGAAATAACCCATACCCAATGTTTACTACATTACAAAGATGGAATGTTAAGTTTACTAACAATAAGATGATTGACGTTGTGTTGAAAAATCCATCTAAAATATTTATGCATGAGTAATTCTACTATCCTTGCAATTTTAATCACTCTGTAACTTGGCTTTATGAGAATAATAGCTTTATTTTCACATCTTAAGACTTGTCTTACATTGGATTCAATTTTTAGTTCTTATACATGCAAAATTATTACTAAGAGATTATTTTTAGAGGAAATGTATTTATTAATAATACCTTTACTTAATCAGGCCTGCTTTATATTTACTAGGAAACCCCTTTGAACTAGAGAGTTCTTTTCGAAAACAATACCTTTATAAATTGTTCTAATAAAGTTATTGAATAGAGATTGATAATGATTTAGGCAGAAAATATCATCATGTATAACAATAGCATTCAAGGAGGAGCTATTTCAAGTGGAATTTTTCTTTAATCCTTATATGCTGAAGTAGTTGATCTAAAGTTTTTCAATATTGCATAATTCCCCACTTAATCAACTCAAAACTCATTTTTTGCAATCTAAAGAACTAGCAAAATTTATATAAGAAATATCTAATTTTAATACATAGATTTTCACAATTCAAAAGGCATTAACATTAGAGATAGCTAAAACATAATTTTAGATTAGGTAACATTTTAAGATTCTCTGATTGATTAGAACAGCTTAATATAATTATCAAAGCCTGAAAATATAATAATTACTAACCTTGATAGTAAAAATGTAGTTAACAAATTCACTAACTTGGATTGCTACCTATTAGATATTGATCTTTTCAGCCCAATTGAAAAAAAGGGTTTAACTAATTCATTTAGTCTCGTAAATGTATCTTAAATGAACTCGAGTATTTAGTTTCTGAATCTTGGAGCAGTTAAGGTGCTTTGATGCTATCATCTATAATATGTATTTTCGATGCCCAGACAAGTAATTATTTTTCAAAAACAGAGAGTATTCTGATAAAATACCTCTTGAATCACTCTTGTTTCATCAATTTTAGAATAATTAAATACAATTGTAGATAATGGAATGAAAAACGAACTTCTGATTTAAATAAAAAATCTGACTATAGTCAACAATCGAATTAGATAAACATAATCACTGTTTACTTTTCTTGGAATTTCTTATAAAGATCTTACAATAAAAATGGAAAATGGGCTTATCCAAAATAATTCAATTGATAGTGGAGCTTTATTCAGCTTAGAGCATTCATCCAAATAATTTTAACTTAAGAACATTTTGTTTATTCAAAATAATGGAAGTTTTATGGAGCTCAAACCTAATAATCAATTAGATCTCAGCAATCCATAAGTTCTATAAATAATAGATTGCCAATTTATTAAGAATTAGATGAATTCTTTCGGTATTTTTCATCAGATATCAAATTCAAATATAACAATTGAAAACTCCATATTTCTAAAGAACTATGGATTTGGAAGAGGATCTATATTATTTGGGGAATAAAAATATTCATATTGCACTATTAAAAATGCAACCATAGATGGAAATTATGCATGATAAGGTGGAGTGTTCTATGTTGAGAGAGATTCTTTTCTATAGGTATATGATTCACTAATTATCAATAATTTTGCAGTGGTTGGTGGAGTCCTTTATTCAGTAAGTGATGGTATAGTAATAATGAAAAATACCACATTTAGATACAACTTTGCACTTAATGCTGAATTATTTTACTTATTTAATAACTAAAATCAACTTTTACTAGAACAGGGCCTCATAGAAAAGAATGGCTTTCAATTCACTTAGTTTAATTATTAAGATTTTTACTTTTCAAATAAAGTACAATCTTATCTAAATCTTGGATAAAATTTAACCACAGACTATTTAGATGCTTTATACAAAGACAAGGATTAAAATACATTATTTTTGAAGAAGATAGAAAACTAATAAAATTATAAGATTTAGATAATCAAAGCAACATTTTAAACTTAAAATGGTCTTATTATAAATGAACAGCCTTAATTAATTCTTTGCTAATCAGGTTCAATCATTGGGCTTAAAGATCTAATTTTTCAAAATACATTTAACATAACAGAAAGTATAATTCAACTTGATTAATCATTAATCACACTAAGCAACTTTTAGATAAGAAATATTGTGACATAAATACCACTCATATCCTTATAGTCAGATTCTATAATGTAAAGTATGAATTTTTCCTATATTAATTCAGAAGGGCCCCTCTTATATATGAAATCATCAATGTCAAATCAAGTAAATTTACAATTAAGCAACTTGACCAATGATTTGAACAATTATCCAATGATTTTCATTTCTGGTTCACATAATTTATCTCACAGCTAAATTAATAATATGAGAACAAATCTTGATAAAAAGATTAATTACATTATATCTGCAACTTCTACAACTCTTTAAGTCACTAGATTGGTCTCATAAACATTCCAAATGACATTATTAAATCTTGAATCTTCAAAATTATTCTTAAACGATTCTACAATAAAAGATTCTGAAAATAGCCTTCTAAATGCAATTGGAGTTCAAAGTTAAAATACAGTTATAGAGATACATAATACTATCTTTAGTAATTTAATAAGTAAGAGTAGTCCATGCTTAAGTGCATCTTCTTCTAAAATTGTTGGCTAAAATTTGAAAATATCAATTTAAAATTCTATGTTTCTTCACAATGAAGCCATAAAAGAAGATTCAGGTGCTATTAAACTAAATAATATAGATTCTGATATTAAGGACTCAACATTTGATGGAAATTAAGCGGTAACTGTTGCTGGTTCTATTAACTACTATTGCTCACCTGATTCTGATAAATGTAATAATGAAACTTTCAGTGTTATAATTTCAATTTAGAGTGTAAAAACTAATTGTTCAATAATATTTTTCAATTCAATGAAGCATTGATCTAAGGAGGCGCTATAAATTCAAATCTATTTATGCCATATGGTTTAGAGAGTAATATTTTTAAGTCTAACTATGCCAAATATGGAGAAAACTATGCCTCTTATGGATATGAACTAAAAATCATTAGTAAATAACAAAACTTAGACCTGCAGAACCTTGTTAGTGGCTAAAACTTCCCTTCTGACTTATTAGTGGGAATATATGATTAAAATGGTCAACTAATTACAATTGATAATGATAGTGAGGCTACTTTATTTTCGGAAGATATTTCATTGTAGATATCAGGGTAAACTAAGGTAAAAGCCAGCAATGGAGTATATATATTTAATTCAATAAATATTGTTGCAAAGCCAAATTATCGCTCATAAATGAAAGTGTTTACTAACGCTATTGATGTACATAAAATTCTACTAATTACATAAAAAGACGAGCAATCATCGTAATCCATCACTTGTAATTCAAAATTTTTGATCATTCCTAAAATCTAGATCTAAACTTGGATGTAAAATTTAGAAAATGCATTACAGGGGAAGTATTACAAAACAATAAATGCATTTTATGTTTAAAGGGCACTTTTTCTTTGGATGCTTCAAAAACACAGTGTTAAAGATGCTTGGACTCAACAACATGCAATGGAGGTTCAGAGATAAATCTTGATCAAGGTGTCTGGAGAAGCTCCACTAATTCAACTCGACTTTATAAATGCTCTAACATTGATGCATGCCCGTAAAATGATCATATTTATTCATTATTTGTAGAGGAGGGTTTGAATCAAAATGCAGCATAGGCTATAAAGGAAAGCTGTGCTCTTAATGTGCTGGAATAGTAAATGGGACAATATATGCAAGGACAAGTCCTATAATTTGCTCTGAATGCTAACCAATTCATATCCAAGTTCTCTCTTTAATTGGTATTATACTTCTGATTGTTGGGTATTTAGTCTATATTCTCTAGTAAATATAGTTCTTGTTTTAAAATTTTTGAATAGTTCAATTTTAAGTACTCCAAAGAGAAACAAGCCTCAAACTGTGCTATTGAGAATTTTAACAAATTACTTCTAGATTATTATGCTTGCAAAAGACTTTGAACTCTAATGGCCTAAAAATGTTGAGCAGGTATTAGGAATTTTCTCATTTATAAGCAGCTCATAATAAAGTTTGATTTCTTTTGATTGCTTTTATTATCAGATGGGTTCACAGAGTATTGATTCCTATTATTTGAGAGTGATTATATATGGTATAATTCCAGCAATTTTCAGTTTTATTGCAGCTTTTATATGGCTTTTGGTTAAGTTGATATTCAGGAGAAAAGATTAAAACTTTGATATAAAAATGTATATATCTGTATCTTGCTATTGCATTATCTCGATTTTACATCCTACCGTAACTACTAGCGCCTTTTCTCTATTTTCATGTATAAGCTATGAAGACGGGAAATCATATTTAAGAAGGGATACCAGTATTTAATGCTGGACTAGTGAGCATATCAAAATGAGCTCTGTAATTGGTATACCAATGTTAGGAATATGGACTATTGGATTTCCAATTTTTATATTTGCACGGCTATTAAAACTAAGGGGAAAATTAAATGAGCAGATAAATCTAAAATTATATGGATTATTTTATGTAGGACTCAATGATTCTACTTTTTATTGGGAAATAATTTTTGTCAACTTAAGAAAATTCATTATTATTGCTGCTGGCACATTCATAGCCAAAGAGAGGTAGCAGATAAAAGTAATTAGAATTTATTTAGTAAAACAATTTTAGGCTTTGATCTCAATATTAGTTCTCTTCATGCAAAATTACTACACTAGAAGTCTCAATCCATATATTGACCCAAGAAACTGCGATATAGACTTTCATTCATCAATGGCATCAGTATATATTAATCTTAATCTAACTTTATAGATTCTTGTTTTATATGGTGGGCTCTTTTTTGTCGATAATGATGTAGAAAAAAATGATTCTATACTTACAATTCTATTCCTTATGATTTTACTTTATAACTCATTCTTTTTACTAAGTTGGATAGTCAGATTTACTCTAATTTTATTAAGAATACATGCGTAAAAATTCAAGAGATTCTTCTCTTTTTCCAAACATATTAAAAAGATTATAACATACGAGCAAGACTTGTAAATATATATGAGTAAAATAGAGAAGAAAAACAGGAAAAAAATAGTCAAAAATGAGATTGCAGAAAACACAGAAGTAGAGTCTTAATCTGGATTTCAATAAAATAAAAATTTATTTTAGAATAATCAATTACAAATAAATGAAGCCCATAAATTGGAACTTATCACAGATGAAGTTCATAATGTATATCAAGAATAAATTTATTTGGAAAACCAAAGTAATAAAAAATCTAAAACCTCGAATATTTTAAAAAGTGAAGAAACTCATAGTAAGAAAAAAAATAACAAGTAATATTTAAAGAAAAATGTAAACAAAAAAAATAAATTTCATTTTCTCAAATCATTCTAAAATAATAGCAATGCTTCATCTATAACGAATAGTAATAAGAGAATAAACTTAAATCACTTTCCTTCCTAAGCTAATTATAATCAGGAATTCATGATTGCTTAAGGTGATGGGGATCTTAAGTAATCTGCTGAACCTGTGAATGTGAGTACACCACTATATAAATTGAAAAAGAATAGATTATAATAGAGCTCTAAAATAAACAGTAAATTTAAATACAAATTAAAAAAGTTTAAATCAAAATAATATCTTGAAAACTAAATTACAGCATTTAACTGAGAGAATCAATGATCTCCTTTTGTTAAAACTTACAATTAAGCATGAGAAATATTAAACAACTAATGCTGAAATTGGCAACAGAACTTTCAGATATTATCTTGATATTATTTTAAAATTCTAAATTAAGTAAAAATATTTGCATCAGGGGTTTTGGGGTTTTGGGG